GTTTGAACCCCAGGAGAAAAGGAATTTCTTTTTTCTTTCTTTTTGGTCTGTTTTATCCCTGGTTCCTGGTGTTCTCTGCCCACAGCTGGCCCCTGCCTGGATGACACCCTCCCCTTAAGCCTCCCTCTGGATTGTCACACACCAGGACCAGGCACCAGGCTGGCTTGAGCTGGAACCCTAAGCAGCTGGCTGGTTCCCACCTGCCCTATGAGCTTGATGCAGGGCCCAGGGGAGTGTGCCAGATCTGTGTTATTTGATTGGCAGCTTTAGGAATCATTTGTATAACTGTATGTAAGCCTGTGCATATACTATTATATAGTCATATTCTTCTTTTTATTGGGTAATGTCTACAGATTTCAATGCTCTAGGTTGTGTGTATTAGGGACAGTAATCCTTTATTTATCTGAACTTTCTCCTGTCTGTGTTTTTGTTCTGTTTTGTTTTTGTATTCTGATGAGTTAGGGGCCATTATAAAAGTTGGTACAGAACTTTTTAAAAATGTAATCAAACCTATCTAATTCTTTTCATTATGATTCCTGAATTTTGTGCTTTTGTTCTGTTTTGTTTTTGTGGCACTGGGGATTGAACCCAGGGCCTCACACATGCTAAGCCTGTGCTCTACCACTGACCCACACCCCCAACCCTGTGTCATCTTTTGAAACGTCTCTTCTGCCTCAGCTAGAACACCCTCTTGTTACTCAGGTTACAAGGAGATGATGCTGCAGCTCAGAGAATGAACCCCACATTAAAGCATGGGGTGAGCAGAGCAGAGGCCTCAGACCCTGGGTCCAGTTCTGGCCCCGTCCTGCTAGCTCAGCCGTGTGCTCGGTCTTTGACAAAGACCTCTTTGTCAAAGGGTCTTACAATGCCCAGTCACATTTAGATATTTAAACTAGAAGAAGCTTGAGGGACCAGGTATAGCTCAAAGGCCTACTGGAGTCTACTTGTCCAAACTCAGAGCAGAGCAGTCAGACCCCTTGTCTCCCAGCCCAGCACTCCCTCTGAGGGCCCAGCACAGCCACTCCAGCTGAGTGGCTTTCAGATTCAGACCTCCCTGGAAGGAGGATCTGACTTCTTAGCTTCTCATCGCCTCCCAGATTGCTGGGAGGACAGGTGCCAAGGAGGATTTGGGGCTTTCAGAAGTGGGTCTCCTATCCAACTCCCCAAAAGAACCAATTGCCCCCCCAGTTGGAGCTCAACTGAATGGGCCATTAACTCCTTTGCTGCCAGTCCTCTGCTCTCCTACTTACATCCTCCCCCCCTTCCTCCACATACATTCAAAAATGCCCTGTGTGATAGGAAGCCCTGGGTTCCCTAGGACATCTGGCACATCTGCCAGCTACTCCTGGCTTGTGGAGGGAAAGTCTGCTGTCTGGACAGGACAGGAAATGGAATTGCAGGTGCCGGTCATGGGGAGCAGCTGAGAGAGTTGACAGACTGAAGCAGCCTGACTGACCCCTTGCCTCCCAGTCCAGCACCCCTCCTAAGGCCCAATATAGCCTCTCTGCTGGTGTGGCTTTCAGATTGAGACCTTTCTGGAAGGAGTGTGGACTTCTTCACTCTCCTACATGTAACCTAGTATTTTCTATTCCCTCATATACTCTTCAGGGCTGGCCAGGGGCAGGGGACAGGCAGAGGACATTCACTGGTCCTAATGCAGGGACATCATGGATGGAAGCCTGCAGATTTTCATCCACAGGTAGAAAGGAAAGAGGGGAAGATGGAAGTTTGGCAGCCCTGTCACACTGTATCCACCACAGCCTTGCCCTTAGCCCCAGGCCTCCCTGGCTGTAGGCCCAGCCTGCCCAGTGGGTACATGCCTGCAGACCTCACCAGGAGGCGTCACCTTGGCAGTTGGCCTCAGGCCCAAAAGAGAAGCTCCAACAGTTCTTGCCCAACTCTCTGCAAGCTGGATTTCCTGAAAGTCAGTCCCTGAGTGTGTGTGTGTGTGTGTGTGTGTTTGTGTGTTGGGGGTATGGAGAACAGAGGAAGTGGGGAAGGAGGCAGCACAACTCCTGAGCCTTATAGAGGCCTCCTTGGGCTCTGGAGCTGTCAGGGAGTCAGAGAGACACTTTGTACAAAGGCTGTGATTCTGGGCCTTTATGTCTGTGGCACTGGGGAGCTCATGACAGGCTCTATGCCCTCATAGCTGCAAGGGGAATCAATACACGGGTGGGAGTGACATTAGACACCTCTTCTGGCCTTGATGCAGGGACCTGGGGCCCACCAGTCACTGGGAAGGCTGAATCATAAACCATTATAGACATTCCCATTGGCAGGTAGGAAAACTGAGGCTCAGAGAGGTGGCATGTAAGAGAGCTGGGCAGAGCTGGCTGAAACCTAGCCTTGCTCTTTTGTCACTAAGCCAGAACAAACCTGCTGGGAAGAGGGCCAGTTATGGCAGGGGCCTGCAGTGAGGACAGAACACTGGGAGGGAAGAAGTCTGATTCATGGGGGAGGCAGTGGTCTGTAGCTGCTTCCCCAAGCCTTGGGGTCCTCCCTGATTCCTCTCTCCCTTCACCTCCCTCAACCAACCCCTCAGCATATCCTGTAACTCCTGCTTTGTACAGCTCTAGAAGCTGACCCCTTCTCACCATCTCCATTCTAAGCACCAGGATCCGAAATGCTGGATGTCTGCTCTACCCTCCTGCTTGCTGTTCCTTTTCTGGCTCATCTCACACTGCAGCCAGAGGGGTCTTTACAAATTTACACCACTCTTCTGCTCAGAGTCCTTCCATAGCTCCCTATTTCATAGCTCCTCACCATGGTCTGTGAGGCCCTGCAGAACCTGGACCAGGCACTGGCCTCACCTGTCCTGGGCCCTAGCTTACTCTGCTCCAGCCGCACTGGCTTCCTAGCTGTTCCTTGCACACACTGCCTTCCAGCCTTTGTCTTGGTTCCCTTTGCCTGGATACTCCTTGCAGATGTCACCAGTACTGTCATTCCTGTGGTTTGCTCCCTCACTTGCTGCAAGTGAGGTCCCTGCCTAATAAGATGCCTCATTAGGAGGTGAGAATGTGTTCCCCAGCAGCCCTCCCCTTCCTCTGGAGATCACCACCCCCCCCCCCCACCCCCCCCCACCCCGCTCCCACCCAGGACCCAGCAGCCCTCCCCTTCCTCTGGAGATCACCACCCCCGCTCCCACCCAGGACCCAGTAGCCCTCCCCTTCCTCTGGAGATCACCACCCCCCCCACCCAGGACCCAGCAGCCCTCCCCTTCCTCTGGAGATCACCACCCCCCCACCCCCCACCCCGCTCCCACCCAGGACCCAGCAGCCCTCCCCTTCCTCTGGAGATCACCACCCCCGCTCCCACCCAGGACCCAGCAGCCCTCCCCTTCCTCTGGAGATCACCACCCCCGCTCCCACCCAGGACCCAGCAGCCCTCCCCTTCCTCTGGAGATCACCACCCCTCGCTCCCACCCAGGACCCAGCAGGGCCTGTCACCATCTGCAGAGGTGTTGATGAGAGTTACCCCTCCCCCTTTCCCCTACTCCTCTCCAGGCCAGGGTAGGGGGAAGGGAGGGAACCCCTGCCAAGGCTTGGGGTCTGAGCAACGAGAAGAATGGAGTGCCATTTGTTGAGCAGAGCCAACAGCTAAAGGAAAGAGAAGGTTGGAGAAAAGAAGAGGACTAAAGGGCAAGGCTCAGGTTGTTGACTTTGAGCTACCAGTGACCTCCAAGGACAACTGTTCAGGGCTGTGTGGCTCCTACTTTGGTCACCCACATCTTTGTCTAGGGAACTAACTGAAGTCATATCCCTCAAAGTCCTCAGGGCTAAGCAGAGCCTAAAGCATTTGGCCCTTCTCTTTCCCTGTGCCCAAGGCTTCCGGAAGCCAGGAGGGTGAGTGGCACTGTGCCCAAAATGGGAGCAGGGTGGGCTCCAGGCTGGCCTCCCACCAGGGAGACCTACTCTCAGAGCATGGTTACCTGGATCCCACGCTGATGAGAGGCAGAGCTGGGCTAATTAGATGTCCTGGCAGAGCTCATCAGGGGCAGGCCAGACGAGCAGGAACCTGGCCTGCACAGGACCCCCAGGTCCTCACTCCTCTCTGGGCCTCAGATGCCCCTCTGTGTAATAGGACATCCTTCCCAACACCTACCCAACCAGGGTCTGCACTAGAAGGCATGTCTAACAGGCAGAGCTTCCCAAGTAAGAGGGTCAGCACTTCCGGGCCCCATCTCCCACCCGAGGACATCCATCACACCTCTTATAGGGCCATGGAAGCCCCTCTGTGGCCCCTGACATGGTTACCTAGTGCCCACTAATCAACAGGAGGGGTGAAGGGGATATGTGACCTCCTGCCAGGTGAGGCTTAGCAAGGGTTAATCTAGGTCAACTCAGGCACTAGGAATAGAACTGAGTCAGCCAGACAGCAAAGAGAAGAGGGAGGACCAGGAATCCCAAGCCACAGCAGCCCCGTGTCCATACTCTTCCCACTCCACAGTGTTTGTTCACCACAAACATCCCATTCTATCACCTTCCCTGCCTCTGCACTGCCCCCTTGGTCAAAATGAGCCTCCTCTGACCTCAGAAAGTGTTCTGTTTTCTGGTTTCTCCTGCCTCCACTAATGCAGGTTCTCTCAGCCCTCTAAGGCTTCCTCCACCAAGCTGCCTTCCCTGACTGGCCATGCTTCTGTCTCTCCTCAGCAATTCCCATCATATTACTTTGGGCTGTGAATCTGAGCCTTAAACTACAGAGACCTTGCCCTTGTGTCTGCTTAGGGCACCTGCCCAGGAGGCCTGTGCATTGCATGGTACCTCCCTCCTTCCTGGTGTGCAGGATTCCCTGGGTAGAAGACAAAAATGTATTGATGACTCCAGGGACATGGATAAGCTTTGTACACTGTAAAGAGCTGTGCACAGGAGAGATCTGAGGTGACAGGTGACTCCACTTGGCGTGGAGCTGTGAGGGAGCTAGAGGTTACGGGGTGGCAGTAAAGGAGATGCCACATCAGAAGAGGTCACTCAGCCTTGGCTCTCTCCACAGGAGACTGGGAGCCCAGAGGAACCCCTGAACACCTTCCAGAGTAGGACAGCTAACACCACCAGCCACCTGGCTCCCTCTAATAAGGAGACCGTCATGGTCACTCTCCATGGAGCTACCAACCTTCCCACCTGCAATGATGGCTCGGAGCCATGGCCCTATGTGGTGGTGTAAGTAGCTGGGAATGGTAGAGGGAGGGGAGGTCCTGGCTTTAAGCAGGAAACAGGAGATGGATTTGAGACATGAGCCCCTGAAGGTTTAGGACTGACACTGTGATACCCAGAGAAGTCACATTGAGGCTGTGGGCTCTGCAAATGTTCCCTGATGTGTGGGAACTGCTTACAGGCCTAGTGAAGAATGGCTACCTCTTGACCCCACACCCAGGTGGCCAGGGCCTGGCCACAGCTTGATCTCACAGGGGTAGGGCTCTTATCTGCAGAGGCCTTGGCTGGGCTCAGTCTGGAGTATGGTCAGATGGTCAGAGAGACTTGGGGTCTGCCTATCCTTGGCGTGGTGAGATGGGTGCCCTAATCTCACCATCCCAAGTGGTTGTAGTCCTTACGACTACCTTCTGCCCCGGTCACCACCTGTCTCCACTTATTTCTCTCCCGGGACTTCTTTAAAACTTCATCCAGAGCTGTGCCCGACCAGGTGCTGTCAGCACCTAGTTCTCCAGCCTTGTACCTGCCTGGCTCAGGGCCCCACTTCTCCCAGAAGGACATTAAGTGACAACACTGTCCAGTCAGCCAGCCTTCCCTGTGGAGGTCGGACATGTGCTCAATCTTTATGGAGCAATAACCCCCTTCCAGGAACTCATCGTCCCTTAATCACTTAATGACATTCTGCTCACCTCCAAAGCCTTGCTCATGTTACCACCTCTTCCTGGGCAGCCCCATAGTGGCAACAACACTGGTTTGAAATACCTGATATAAATATGGTTCCTGTGCTCCTCTACTGTCTCCCAGAGGATCCCAAGTCTACTCTTTATTTTTCCAACGATGTGCCCAACAGACGCCTGAGGGCAGATTTAGGGGTCAAAGAGGCAAACACCCAGCTAAGATGACAAAAGGGAAATAGGTGCTGTGCTGGAGACCAACAGGTGAAGTGCTTGCCTAGCATGCCGAAAGCCCCATTTGTGCCTGCCCTGCATCTCCGTCGTCCTCCCCACCCCTCCCCCAACTCCATTTCCGTGGTGATGGAAGGACAGGTGGCAGAGGGCGGCTTGGCTTGGCAGGGAGGAGGTTGGTTTCTAGCCCGGAGCTTGCCTTCTCCTTCAGCTGTTTCCATAAACCAATTATCGCCGATCATCTCGGGAGATTGAGGCCCTGCCTGTCACCAATCCAGCCTGGAAGGCGATGGGGCGGGTAACTGGGTGGCCGTGCTGCTTGCTCCTCCGCAGGCACCACGACCCCTGCGCCATCACCCCGTTGCTATGGGAACGCGCAGCATGCGCCTGGGCGACCCGTGCCTGGGTGGATGGGGGTGTGGAGAGCTGGGCACACGCCAGTCCTTCTGCACCCTCTCAGTGGCTGCAGCAGGTGGGGCGGAGCGGGAGCGAGAGCGCACGCTGCACCCCTGGCTGCTGGGCCACAGTCGCATCACACGGCACTAGGCAGAGATGACACCAGCTCAGAGGTGGTGCTAATGAGATGCAAATGAAAGGAGAAGGGAGGGCTTCTGAGAATGAAGACCCAGCTGTCAGGACCTGAATGTGGTTTGCAGGGGTAGCTTGAGCCCCAGGCAGGAACCCCAGAGGGAGGGCCTGCCCCTTCAGAGACCCTAGACCCTGGGAAGAATTTAATGTCTTCCTACGTCTGTCTAATTACAAAACACAGTAACAAAGCATACAATAGGGATGAAAGTCCACTGAAGTTTTCATTTTTTAATGATGAATATTTCAATTTTTAAAAACATTCATAAATACTTAAATGTAAAATCTGAAACTTAAACTCCTAGAGGAAAACAGTTTCTCCCTGGGACTTGTTTTGAATTTTGGTGGTACTGAGGTTTGAACTCAGGACCTCTACCACTTGAGCCACTCTGCCAGCCCTTCCTGGGATCTTTACATTAGTCTTGACTATATGTATTTATATTATATATTTTTTTCCTTTTGGATTTGACACCAAAAAGTAAACAAGGAGGACTCCAACAAGCTAAAAAGGTCTGCACCGCAAAGGAAAACAATCAACAAAATTAAAAAGCAGCCAATGGAATGGAAGACAATGTGTGCACACCGCACATCTAATAAAGGAGTGAACTTCTAAAATGGATGAGGAACTTAATACAACTCAATAGAAGAAAAACAGCCTGACTCAAAAGTGGACTTCAGAGCTGGGAATGGAGCTCAGTGGAAGAGCACTTGCCTAGTGTGTACAGAGTCCTGGGTTTAGTCCCTTGCACCGCAATAAATGAATAGATTAAAAAAAATGGCAAAAGAACCCAAATAGACATTTTTTTCTTCAGGAAGGCATACAAATGAACAATAGATACACGAAAACGTGCTCAACATTGTTTGTCATTAGAGAAATGTGAAGTAAGACCACAGGAGCTATTACCTCACACCTGTTAGGTAGGCTATTATCAAAACCACAAGAAGAACAAGTACTGGTGAGGATGTGGAAGAAAGTGTGCCCTTCTACACTATTACTTAATGGTGCCGCCATTAAGGAAAACAGCATGGAGTTTCCTCAAAAAAGTTAAAAATAAAACTACTATATGATCCATCAATCCCACTTCTGAGTGGATGCATATCCAAAGGAAATGAAGTCAGTATCTTGAAGAGATATTTGCCTCCTTGTTACATTGCAATTTTAGTCCCAATAGCCAAGATATGGAATTAACCTAAGTGTCCTTCCACTGATGAATGGATAAAGAAAATGTGATTTTATATATACCTGTGGGTATAAAATTCAGCCATAAAAGATAAGGAAATCCTGCCATTTGTGACAACATAGGTGAACTTGGAAAATATTATGCTAAGTGAGATAAATCAGGCACAGTAAGACAACTACTGTGTGATCTCACTTAATGTGGAATCTTAGGTGAATGCACAGACTAGAGTAGCATGGTAGTTGCCAGGGGCTGGGACTGGAGGATGGGGAGCTGATGGTTAAATGTATAAACTTCCAGTTACAAGGTGAGTAAGTCTGAGGGAACTTAGTATGCAGCATAGTGACAATACTCAATAACACTGTATTGTACACTTGAAATTTGGCAAGAGTAAATTTTAAATGTCCTCACCACATGTACACAAAAAAGTGTGACCATGTGAAGCAATGGATACATTCTTAAGAGGTACATACCTTAAACCATCATAGTGTATACTTTAAATATATTTTTATTTGTATATACTCAGTTACTCTGATTACATCAAGTTACTACACAATCTTTCTACCTATTCTTGGTACATCTAATCTTTCCCCTTGCAAGATCCCTTGAAAGGCAGGTTTCTATTTAGTTCTGTGGTCCCATAACACCAAAAAACCCACAAGACTTCCCACTGTTCCAGAGTAAAGACATTTCCAGGGTCAGCATAGTTGGGTCTTTGCTGGTGCTTCCAGCTCCCCAGCAACACAACCCCCCACTTTCAACTCTCTTTAATTCAACCACACTGAACATGTCTCAGTTCTCTGAGCAGACCCTCTCTCCCTACCCCAGGCCTCCACGCTCTTCTCTCCAAAACATTCTCCCTTCCACCCTTTGGATCCCTCCTTGATCTCCCAAGCCAGCATCTATCTCCCCATTATACGCATTCACTTGCTTTTCACTGGGCCCCACTAGTCCAAGAGCAAGCACCAGGTAGCTTTGACTCACCTTATACCCCTATTACTAAGCACACTGCCTGGAACATAGAAAGATAGCCCTAAATAAATGTTGAATGAATGAATAAATCTGTCCCTGTGTCTAGCTTGCTGTGTGACTTTTAGAAACCTACCTACCTCTCAATCACTAAACGCTTCACCTGGGAACTGGCTTTGAAGGGTTACAGAGGAATAGAGCCAGACAGTGGGCAATTCTGGCAGGACTAATGCAGAATGAGGAGGGGTGCTTAGCCAGAGCTCACGGTGGGCACGTGAGAGCTAACAGAATAAAGCCACAGGGCAGTAGAAAGAAGCTGGGATGGGATCAGAAAGGTCCTGAGTCCAGCCCACTGCCCCTGACTCCCTGGGTGACTTCTGATCAGTCCCTGACCCTCTCCCATGGGACACATGGAGGCCTTGGCCTCCACACTGGGGCACGCCTGACTGGCTGGCTTGTGCTTGGGAAACTGACTCAGGTTCTTAGAGTCCCAGTTGTGCCACCCAAGACAGATTCCATGCCCAGGTCTGCTGGGCCAGCGCCCAGATCCAGGGTCTGCCCTGACTGGCCTGAGCCTGGCTCAAGGCCTTGGGACCTGACCAGTGTCCAGAACCTGTCTCCCAGCCTGGCACAGAGAGACCTGCCAATCACAGCACAGCAGGGACCAGAAAGGCAGTGGCAATGACAGGTGGGGGCTGACCCAGTGGGCAGGAGTGGGGGGTGGGGTAGGGGAGAGGGGAAAACCGCCAGGATATGGCCTGTGGGTTCTGATCCCTGGCCAAAGACTGGTGAAGGTCTGCCAGTGTTGGCAGCTGCTTCTTTGGCTGCCTGCTGCCCCAAGCTAATGAGTGGAGACAGCCAGCACTGGGCAAGGAGGCACAGCTTCCTCTGTGCCTATGGCTAGGCTTGGCTTGGCTCTGCTGGGTCGAGGTGAGGCATACATGGGTCAGGGCCTGTCAGAATCAGGGCCTGAGGGCCCTGACCCTGGCCCCACACTGAGCCTGACCTTAGTCACAGACTGAGACTAATTGTAGAGGGTATTAAAAGAAGAAAATTATTGAAGGTCCAGGACAGAGGGAGTATAAAGAAATGCCTCCCATATACCTGGCAAATGTGCCAGGTGTGTGTGTGTGTGTGTAAGAATTCAACAAGGATCCGGAATTCCAAAACCTGCAGTCTTTTTCCACCTTACTCCCTGACATAGTCCATCATGCAGTGATTGTCCCTCTTGGAAGGGGACTGTTGGCATCAGGGCCCTAACCCAGACTTCCGGCGAGATGCACTGACCAGCCTAGAGACCTCTTCCAGGCCCTGGACCTTCTCCTCCTCCCTATCTGGCTGTGGCCTTTGGGCAAATGTTCCAGAAAGCAGT